GAGGTGAGGTGAGCTAATCATAGACTGAAGACCCAGGTAAACAATGAATTAATCTTTTCTGTTTCTTATAGCAGTTTTGTATTGTTTGTAGTGTGATCAACGTTTGCGTAAGTAGTAGACGTATTAAGGAAGTAACACGTAACATTTTAATTATATTTTGCTAAAATGAATGAAATGATTCGAAAAAAGATTCGTTCATTTTGCTGAGGGTCCGAGTCGGTAAAATGATCCGAACTTCCCATCACTACTTCTGATTGGCCAACATGGCTTTATGGTTGAGATTATATCGCTACCTGTTGGCTTGGCATGCTCTTGACAGTGCTTCATAGCATGCGTTTGCGTTTTCATGTGGATGGAGAATTTTTTAAAAACGGAAGAAGGAAAAACTCAGTTTATAAAAATACCCGTGTATGTGTGGACATGGCCTCAGTGTTTGTAGTTTAAAGCATACAATTGTTAGTACATAAGTTAGAGCAGAAGTAAAATACAGAAAAGAAGGACAGAATGTGATTTCACTTTCTTTTTTATAATACGAGTTAACAGGAATTGCCTTTATGATTGTAAATTAGTTAGCTGAAGACACACCTCTTCTGAGACTACCTGTGTCTTAAAAGTTGTAAAAGTCTCAGCAGATCAGGGAGAAGGTTGGCAGCCCGTAGAGGAACAGAGAGGGTGGAGGTTCTAGAAAATGACTTTGTACCTCGTTGTGAAGGAAGCACAACTGTTGCATTTGCTAGCTGTAAATGGCCGGAGGGAACATACACCTATAGTGTTCACTTCCAATGGCAGTCCTGATGGCCAACATTAAAGCACTGGAGCGACACAAAGAGGAATGTTACATGGACCCTCTGTGGTTGACTGTTTTGCTGTAGATCAGCTCCAGAGGCTTGTTCTGCCCACATTCTATACAATTTTAGCAACTCTGCGACAGTTAATGATTGCAGACAAAAGTCCCCCCCCAAAAAACATGGTGCTCATTCATGGGAGTGGCGATCGCTATGTTTGTATGTTTGAATGATCAAAAATGAGCCGATAGCCTCGTGGGCAGCGTGCTGACATGCGCTATGAGACGTCCTGAGCTCGAGTCCCAGCTCTCAGACCTTTCCCAATCCCGCCCCCCTCTCTCTCCCACTTCGCTTCCTGTCTACTCACTGTCCTATCATAATAATAAAAAATAATAAAAAAGAGCTGTTCTTAGAGAAGCACCCATGTGTCATTGATGCCCGAGAGATATTTAGCAATTTCTAGTCCTGTCTGCAATCCAAGTTTTGTAGTGTGAAATGTGTTTTGACTGGAAATTACATTGGTGATGACAGTTGTATAGTGTTGAAAAAAATGGCAACTTTGAAAGTCGCGTTGTTAGTCTTACTAACCAATAGAGTGAGCGCACCTCCGTTCTCCCCAATCAGCACTGCTCTATCCAACTGCGTAAACACCCACCATTAAAAAAACAAACCAAAAAAAAAAACAAAGCGGGAGAGAGACAGAGTGGGATTATGCCGTCTACTGGGTCAGATCGATAGTTAGGCAAATTCAACAGCCAATATCAAGAGCTCCCTTATCGGTTCTGTTTTCAGTATTGGCGAATAAAAGATACATTCTTAGATGTTTTTGTTAGTACGTGAACGTTATTTTACACATTTTATCTCCCCAACAGATTAATTTGAAATAAATTTATGATGCATGTTCGCTATTCCCAATTCAGAAGAGCGCACACACAGCCTGTGTCTGTGAATGCTTCTCATACTCGCTCCTCTCTGCCCCACGCGGCGCGAATCCCGCGTCACGGACGAGCCGTTCATGCTTGCCGCACTCACGCAGCCTGTCTCGTAATGCTCGTTTAGAACTACGGCTCTGTGAAGTAAATGCTGCTCCATCTGAAAGCATGTGAAAATACCACATTTAATAACATATTGTTACTCAGATAAACCGTATATTGCCGTAGTTGTGTGTTTTTTAGTCACGTTGAATCAATGAAAGCTGTTGAATCTTCTGTTTATTCAGCTGCAGCGATAGGCATTTTCTGGGTTTCTTCTGCGAGGCGTATTTGGAGTTTCAGCGCGAGAGCGCCCTCTGGCCTTTGGATGGAGATTTACTGCTGATCACAGAACCGTGCTTCACTGAAAGATACGCATGACGATCACAGCTTCTGTCGAATCGCGATCTCGATTCCATTTCGATTTATCGTGCAGCCCTATTGCAATGACAAGAGCTCAGATGAGAAGCTGCACAGCATACTAAGAAATGAAGGTCTGATTTTCCTGATGTTACAAAGCAAAACCATGCATTAACCAGGCAATGAATCACATGTGGCTATAAAGCTCAACTGGCCTGAAAGGCATCTTGTCCTTTTACTTAACCACTTACTTTCCTTTCATTCTTTTCTTCCCGTTTTCCCTTGAGCAAAACAACAAACAACTGGAACAGGTGCTTTTTGAGCACAGTAGTGCCTTTTGGCTGTCATATGCTTAAATATTTCATGGTATTTCCCTTTGAAAAAACAAGATTTTTAGAAAAATTCCCGGTATAATTTCATCAGTAGCAACTGAAAAAAAAATCCAGTGTGTGTTTGTGTGTCTAAAGAGGAACAGGTTGTGTTTTTAGTTAAACTTTATCCAAAATCAAACATTTCCTTGATACTAAACTCAGACCTAATGCCACCTTAGAACCAAACTCATTCACATACAGTGATGACATTAGGGCTGAAAAAACGAATGATCTCAGAACCCAGTAATGTGAAACCAGATCAACCAGTTAGAAGTATTTGGGTTTTGAAATTCATATTTAGAAACACTCTCAAATAGTCCTGTTTATACAATCACTTGCAGGGCAGATCAACTACCGTCAGTATAAATGAGAAACTAAAGTCAATGGCCTTTCTATTCTTGTTTTAGCTGTGAATGACACCTGTTATAATAATGACACTGACTATAAATATCAAAGATGGCAACTTTGATAAACAGTAAAGCCTTATCACAACTGTCACAACAACGTTATTTAATAAACAAGTCCAAATGAGGTGCAAGTACACTGGTGAAATCCTAATTAATAACAGACCACAATATGGTTGGAAGCAACTGGCTCGAAAAGCTTTGGTTTATGAACAGCGTATATCAATGCGTATATAGAACTTCTTGATTTTTCTCGTCAACCATGCCAATTTTTAAACCATATCACAAGTCATTTTTCTCAGCTCCAATGTTGGTGTAATTACTTCATATTGCATTTGAAGTGATTCACGCTACATTTAAATGTGGTTGTCACTCTTTGGTTACCAAAATTTGCAGTTACATGGCAACTGATATGATCTTAAAGTGCAAAACTTTATATACTTGAACAAAACCTAAGAAACAGTAACTACTGTTTGCTTGGGGTCATGTTTCTGAAAGAAGTCTCTTATGCTCACCAAGGCTGCATTTATTTGATCAAAAATATAATAAAAACAGTAATACTGTGAAATATTATTACAATTCGAAAGAACTGCTTTCCATTTTAACATATTTTAAAAAGTAATTTATTCATGTGATGGCAAAGCTGAATTTTCAGCAGCCATTACTCCAGTCTTCAGTGTCACATGATCCTTTAGAAATCATTCTAATATGCTGATTTGGAGCTCAAGATACATTTCTTATTATTACCAATGTTAAAGACAGTTTTGCTGCTTAATATTTTTGCGGAGACCGTTTGTCTGTCCGACTCTGTTGCCCTTTCGGGCTTGAACTGATGGTAAAACTAACGACATTATCAACTGTCTTGATATTTACTTTGAAAGCTGAAGCTGCGATTATGGTAAGGGGCGTTACATTTCCGACACGTGCTTGTGGTGTTCGGCCAATCACAATGCACTGGGTCAGCTGGCCAATCAGAGCAGACTGTGCTTGTCAAAAGAGGGGGCTTTGTTGAAAACGACCTGTTTGAGAGAGGCGGGGCATAGAGGACCTACAATAATGTACAATATTTGAAAAATAATGTGTTTTTTGAACATTAACGCATGTCAACATATTCTGTCACACCAAATACACAAAATAATGATCTTTAAAATAGCATCACATGACCCCTTTAATACAGTTTTATTGCATTGTAATTACTGCCATAATGTGATTTTGAGTGAAACTGTGGTTACCACAGTACATTAACAGGATTGTTCTTTAAAGCCCATCCAATCAGCGGCCATCCACACAGTGCTGTACCTGTTTGCGGTTCTGCTGTCTGAGGCTGTTCAGTCTCCGCGCGGAGTAGATGATGAAGTATCCAACAGTCGCCGCAGTAACGATGAAGAAGGAGATAGAGACGAAAAACACTGAATAGTGACTCATCCAGGGACCGTGCTGATTCCCAACCTCTACTGCTATGGAAACGGGCAAGCCCTTTTCTAGCAGCTGGAACAGCTTTATCCCACGGACGTTGCCAATCATGACTGCAACGATGCTCGTGCCTAGAAACACAGAGGTAATACTGAAAACACGGGCAGCACGCATGCGCAAACCAAAACACACACCGTAGCGCTTAGCAACCTGATGGTTAGTCCAAACGTCAACAAACATGCAACATTAAATGTGTTTACTAACATGTACCCAAATAAAATACGTTTTAAATTAAGTGAGAGGAAATTTGTGTCAAACTAATTGACAAATTTAATTTTTTTCTTTGTGAGAAAAAAACTTGTGTCATGCACGAGACACTTGAGTCTTAAACAGTGGTGAAGGACAGAGTTTGTTTAACAAGATGTGAGTTCTGAATTCTTTACTTTATACTCTAAAAAAATACTTGTTTGCATGAGCATGACAAAAAATATAATGAACAATATCACAATCTACCAGTGTTATTATAGTTAACTAGCCATAAAAACACATTTCGTTACATAACAAACTGAAATAGGCCTAACTTATTTTTAGTTATTTGACAAGGCAACGATTATCATTTTCATTTAGTTTAACTATGTATTGAAATGAATAAAATATAAATTATAATTATTAAATTATAAATTAACCATATATACATATTTTAAAACAAATAAACATGATAAAAGACATAATTAAATTACTAAAATATTAACTAAAACTTAAAAAAAATTTAAATACAAGTTTACTCAAAATATTAAACAGAACAGTAATAATATCAATGTTACAAAAACAGCACCGCAAATAACACCTTTAGGTATACACACACGCACACCCTTTCGTTTTATGACATGACACAACGTGATAAAACGCGTTTATTACTGGTCATCTGAAATGTCTTCAGGAAATTGAGTCATTACGCAGTGAATTTCTCCCTCTGATGCTCCGTAAGTGGATTTATGCTTTAAAAACCAGATCGCACCAGCTCTAAAATGTGGTTCTAGTCCAGTTTATTTATATATCATGGACAGGCGAGAGCAGAGTGTGCGCTCTTCCGCGTAGAGGAGGTCCTATCAGCTGTCAAGTTTACACAACACAACGCCCGGGTTAGAGTACAACTGGCAACTAAGAAGCCAGAATTTATTATCAGAATAATGAGAGACAAGGCAACACTTGCATATATACACATACTAAAACCTATACTGGACCCCGTCTGAAAATGTTCAGCACCTCATCTTGTCGTAATGAGCCCGTTGGATCACCTACCTGGGTGGGACATCTGAATGACCCGATTTTCTGCCCCGTAGTCATTGAAAATGATAGCAGCGGCAGCTCCGTTCATGGCCGCGACGTTAATTTTATCGGTGAAAGTGCATCCGTTTCCGCGCTGGATTAAGGCGATCCAGCCCGTGGAGTCGTTCGGTCGGCGATAAACGGTGTCATCTTCACAGCCGTAGATCGGATCGGCTAAATACACATTCCCCACTACAGAAGTTTTGGGAGAGTCTTGCCCATACAACCCCATCTCCTCTCGAAACCAGGTGGTTAGGTTTGTTTCAGGGTTTGTATAGGAAATGTTCAGGTATGCAGTGCACAAGTAACTGGCTTGCGCCAAACGCACACTCGAAACCTGGAAAACAGAGGCCACCAGCAGCCACGAAAACACATCCCGACTCGCAAGAAGCCCCATATTCGGCACACCAACCCTGTCGCTTCTCTCTTTAGTTCAGTTCAAAGCACAGCTTGAAACAAATTTGGTTTTAAAATGATTCAAAAATGGTTCCGCAAACTCACGTAATCGATATCTCCCTACTGAGCGCCTACAGGTGTTTTAGTAACGCAACTGAATGGAAACTCTACCTCGCTGAGGTCACTGCGCCCGAAGCCACGCCCACCCCTCTCTTAAAGCAACACACGCTGTTTTTCTTGCTTCACTCATGCTCTTGGAAAGTGACTGAATTATATGGTTTATTCAGGGCAGGATGTAAAAAGTACAGAATTCTGTTCAAGTTAAAGTACAGATACTACATCAACATTTTAGCCTACTCCACACCAGGGGCAGCAGGGGTTTGGCGTTTGTTTTTATATTTAATGCACTTTGTTTAAGTAATGTAGGCTTATCGTTCAGGAATGTTGTCGTTGTATGTATGGCCAGTGGCCACAGGGAATTATGCCATACCCTAGGTTTTTAGAGAGAGCAAGCGCAAAACCTGGCCAGCGGTTATGAAAACATGAATGATCATTTCTTTTAATGCAGTGCGCTGTCACTCTTTCTACATAAAAATCAGTCAAATCATGTAATGATTCACCTTGTAAAAAAATACATTCTTCAGAACTTCCCATTTTTTAATCAACTAAAAAAAGTCATGCAGTTTTGGAATGACAATGGTGGTGGGAAAAAGTACATTTATGGTCAATTTTCTATTAAAGGAAAAGCTGCCATATCAGTATTTAAAGTATATTTCACTGGCTGATTAAATAAAAGGAGTGTTAAAGTTATGCGAGCATGAAGTACTTAAGTAGTTTCCTGCGGTAACTTCAAAAGATTTAATTGCTTTGTGAAACATACGAATCCAGAGAAAGAATACATTAACTTACACATTAAACAGTTAACCCTTTCGCACGTGAGTTTAAAATATTCTAGCTGAGCCCCCAGCGTGAGTTTTTTTTAGGCGACCGTTATTTTAAAATGTATCGCCTTATTGTTTCCATGGCGACGCGTCATGCTTGTCATGTGACACAACGCAGCCACAATAGATCTGTGTGACACATGGATCGCTTTTATTTAGTTTTTCCTGTTTTATTCAAAATATTCACAAACATGCTCACCATCTTATGAAATATCTGATATTCCGATTCTGAAATATGTGCAAGTAAATCTATTTGGTAGTTTAAACACTTTTATATCGACCGTGTTAGTTGATCTATACCGGGTGATGGGCGCCGCCATGTTAGTTCGCGCTGAATACGAGCTGTGGGATTACCGGTGTGATCGTACGCTTCAGGGACCAGCCAAGACTGATCACACCGGTGTGATCGTACGCGTCAAAGGGTTAAATCTTAATACAATAAATCTTGAATAATATCATTTTTTCAGTGCCCTTTTAGAAAAAAAAAAATCTGGTGTAATGTCTGCAAGTTGGTTAGGGCCCCGTCCACACGAACAAGCCCTTATACCATCACGCCAATTCATTGGCCAAATAGCGCTTAGCACCACCCCCGATGCGCACGTAGGTGAGCTATATCGGTGTGCTGCATGCTATTTCATCAGATTTCCACTTGTTTACGAAGGAAGCGCTATCAAAGGTACGGAACGGCCCGCATTGCAGCATCTCGTTCCCTATTAAGGGAATCAAGGTTACATACGTAACCGAGATGTTCCCTCTCATAGGCTCACTTCGATGCTGCGA